GGGTCGTTTTTTTGTGAGGAGGGGCATATGTTCTGCGTGGGGGGGGGTTTGTCCTTAAACAATTGCATTGCTACATGAGAAAGAGAGGGAATGGGAGGGGTGGTTCGTTGATTCCGATGAATTTCAAGGAAGAAAGGGCGGGGGAGGGGGTGTTGCTGGCTAGTTTCTTCTGGGGTTTTTCGTCGTGGTCGGGTCACACCACTTGGGGGGTTGCGCTCGCAGCTTTTAATGACGTGCAAGGAGTGGGAAAAACGGTTGAATGATTCCAGCTAAAGTGAAGGGGAAGAGGAAGGGTTGGGTTGTTGCTTGGTTTTTTTTGGAAGTCGGGGTTATTATGTGCCAATGAATGTGAACGGTTCCATTATCCCGGTTGTGTAGTGACACTACTCATGGCGTGTGACACTACTCCGCAACGACATACAACTTGAGGTAGATTTGCCAGCGGCTTCGCATATGTCTGTATTTAGCATTTAATCGCAAACATTCTAATTAGTGACAAAACTGTCTAGGACATCCAGCGACTGATGTGTCTCGCGGCGGAGTTCACTCAGCAGTCATTGGTGCCGGTCTGTCGGCAGGCGAATAACGCAATGAAATGTACTGGAATCCTACTGGCGAATCCGACAGCCTCGCCTGTGATAAAAGCAGGTTTTCGAAAATTAACGGGATTGACGAAATCGATGCTTGGTGCCTTAGGTGTGATGGACCTTTTGTTGAAGGCGTATCTCACAGCTGCTGGAAGTTAGGAAACAAAAAGTGGCAGCAACGATGACTGCGGTTTTGCTAAAAAATTTGTGGAGATTTAATGCGTTTGTCATCTGTAATGATTTCAACAAGTGCATTTAATCAGAGATGATAGAGAGTTTTAGGATGAGGGAGATTCCTGATGAGCCCCTCTGCCTCCGGGGTCAGTCGATGGGTGCAAGGATCTAGGCGAGAAGAATCGGGTTGAAGGATGGAAGATGTGGGAAGACACGTACTCCCGGCTGTAGACGAGACCAGGATCCAGAGTGAAGAAGACGAGGGTCTATAAGCAGCTTAAAAGATATAGCCCCGGAAGTGAGGGAATGTTCTCCCTTTACGGTGATGACGGTACAAAAGACGCCACACAGGCGAATTAGAAAAACTTGCCGGGGAAAAGGGGAGGGAAAGGATTTGTAGATGGGTAAATTAAATTAAAAGAGCATAGGGATTGCGTTACTGTAATGAACAAGAGTAAGCGGGAATATCATAAAACTTATACAATGCATTTGTTCTCACTTATAGTTGAAAAAATGATATTGATTTCGCTTCTTACATGAATTTTTTTATGTATTGGCGTATCGCGTGATAGCGTAATATATCAAATAGTGACTAATGGTTTTTTGTTAAAAATGGATTAAAGAACAACTGCGTTATGACGCAGTACCGTTGTCCCTGGTTCAAACTTTAATTGCCCTACCCTCACTGAACTTTCGATCTTTGTCCCCTGGGGTATAAAAGCACTCCTCACCATTACCGATCATCATTACCGACCTCCTTCACCTACCCCTTTTACCGACCATCATTACCGACCTCCACTGCGACTTACTGCTATAGACCAATATTCCTATTCTGGGGAGCTTCGGCTCCCCAGAGCCTCATCTATTTTTGTATCTTACCTTTCCACTCTACTATGTATAATAAAAGTGTAAATAGGACGCGGTGTGTTACATACACATACACACACATACATACGCGCCTACCCACGGGGTACTCACTAGTCTAAATAAGATAACAATTAGGGTCGCGATAGGCGAAATGCATGCTTGATTGTTTAAAAAATGATTTGAAAAAACGCACTTCTTTGTTCTTTGTTCGTTGTTTCATAGTTTTCTTTTTAATTTTCTATTAAATAAAGCATTCACTGATTACTGTATTACTTTGTAATATAGAGGCTGGGGAGAGGAAGGGGGAAGAAAGTGAGGATAAAATTACGAGGAAAAGATACGGATGCAGCTGGGAAGGATGAGAGGCTGTGGGTGCGGCGGGGAGGGAATGGGAGACAGTCGAGGGAAGGGAGTGGCAGCTAACAAAACGGACCAGAACTGGTTCTAGCGATAGCTGAGAGGCAGAGCGGAAGCGTTACAGCGCGAGAGGGTAGGCGGTCCATACAGGTAACGAGCAGCGTCTTATATAGGTGACGGGCAAAATCTTATCCAGGCAACTAGCCAATCAGGAATGTGTAAATGCGACCCGCTACCAGGTACAGGTGAGGGCATGTTACCTGT